CAAGTCAATTTTTGAACCAGAAGAAAGGCAAATGATTTCATTAGCTTACGAATTTATAATAATTAATCCCTTTGGATGAATTATAATAGACAACATTACTATTATTCCTGGGCCGGAAGAACTTGTGTCAATTAACATAGCCATGAAGCTTTTACAAGTAAGTGGGTCCCTTTACCAGACCCTATACTTGCATTGCATTTATTAAACAGCAAATTAATGCCTTCATCTTGTACAACCATATATACATCAATCTTCTCCACCGCTTTCATGCCATTACATTGATCGAGATGTATTACTCTGTCGCAATCGCAATCAAAGCCGAACCCACCTATCTCTCTCTCAGAGCTTACTCCTCCTACTATATTATCCAGTCCAAGTCAATCTAGAAGAATATGGGGTTAGATGAAGGAGTTGAACTTCGGGCCCTTCGTATGTGGTTTGATTGGGCCTATTTGGTCCAGGTTTGTCTCGAGGGCCAGTAGTTTGGTACGAGGCGTAGCTTAATTTAAAACAAGAAGAATAGTTGAGACTTGAGACTTGAGAATTGAGACTAAAAACGGAGTACTTTTTTTTAAGAAAAAAAAAAAAACAGGAGGCCAAAACGCCCAAAATTAGAATATGAGATAGAAAAATATGTTTGATCTGTCGGGTCAATCCAACTAATTTGGTAGGTTGGATTATTTTTTTTTAACCCGTCAATTAGCTATATTTCATGCCCTTTAAGGGTGGGTAAAGTTGGTAAGACGTAGACTGTTGAGATATATAGTCCTACATTGGTTGTATGTGCAATCAATGTGGAGTTTATAAGGTCTTGGGCACTCCCACCCTTTGAGCTAGCTTCTGGGGTGGTGACCTCAAAGTTCTTTACATGGTATCAGAGCCTCGCCGTCCCCCACTTTCTCTTGTGGAGTTTCTTAGCACAGGTAGGTTGGCCCAATGGGCTCTTGTGTGAGGGGGCGTGTTAAGATATATAGTCTCACATTGGTTGTATGGTGACTTCAAAGTTCTTTACATAGACTATAATAGATTGATCCGACGAGTAGATTTTTTTTAAAACTTAATTGGATAACTTGGGTAAAACATCTCACTTTTTTTCTAAAACATTTCACTCAATCTCTCTCATTTTTTCTTATTTTTACTAGTTTTATGGTGAGTTGAAGGCGAGCCAAGTTGCTCACATTGCCACCCTTAAATAGAATAAACAAAATTACAAAATTCTAATAGACTTAATCCTACTCACAAATGAGTTATCAACCAAATACTAGGGGATGGTATAAAAGATCTGAGCCCTGTCGTGATTTGGCTGGATAAAAGTGTAGTTTATAATCTAATCTGCACAACAATTTCCTTTCATATAGGTGTATTGCAACTGATAAGTCTCTGAAATGAGACTTGAAACATATGGTTTTAATGTGCAAATGAAAATAAAAGAATACTTTTTATGTTAGTAAAAGCTCCAAATTTACACTGAGTTGAATTTATTGATTAAAGTGCTGATGGGCTGCAAGTTTATTTTTCAGGCCCAAATAGAAGAAGCCAGAAAGAAAATAATAAAGCAAAGGAAGAAAAAAAAAAGGGAGTGGGCAGATACTTTTGAATTAAAAGCCCATTTGAAGAATTCCAACCCAAAAAGATATCCAAAGCAACATCTGAGCCTCAATCCTATTTCTAACATCACAAAACCCTAATCTCCTCTCTCGCAAACCCACTATGCTACCTAACCACAGCCGCACACCAAACCCACCCTCATCATATTTCCTAATCTCTCTTCCTCTAAGCCGTGAAACATTTTTCTGAAAGACCCATACAAACCACCAGCCACTCAAATCAAAGTCCAAGTGTGATTATTGTAACCATCTGTGACCATACAGCTTGCTTTAGCCATTGTTCTAGAAACCATACACCAACAGAATAGTGATGTGGATGCTGTTACGAGTGCGGAGCGAAATTGCATTTGGAATATCTGATGCAAGTTTGGAGCGGTTGGGGACCACGGGTGTGTAACGCGCGAGAAGCGCGTAACACCTGCTGAGCTGGAGAAAGAAAATCGCGCAAAGAAGGAAAGGAACCCTATAAAAAGGGAAAGAGGAGTGAGTCAAAGACCTCTCTGCTTCCGACTCCTGATTCTGATTTATCGTTTTTTTTAGTTCTTGCTTTCTGAACAATTTTTATTTTCTTTTAATTTCTATTTTGTAATGAGATTCTGGTTCATCTGATGAACTCGATACATGTATTTACAGCACTGAAATTGCTGGTTGTTAGGCTAGTGCTGTAAATCATTTTCTAGCATTTCTCTTTTGTAATTTCTTTAGTTCTGTTACTGTGTGTAAGCCTCATCCATATGGATAGTGGCTAACTTTTTAGAGGTTGGGCTTATGTGATACCCAAACCTCAGTGCTTGTCAAATATTTGATTTCCTGGTTTTAATTTTTATATCTCAGTTGTTTAATGTTTTTTTTTATGTTTAAAATTATCTGCATTTTGGCCAAATGTCAGAGGTTTGGTTAGGATTTAGTTGTTGAGAAACAACTAATTCTGGATTCTGCATTAGACACATGGAGTTAGATGAGAAATCATCTAAGGGATCTCAATTCAGAAATGAATGAGTCCTCATGTAATATTGGACCTGAGTCTCAAGAGTCCTAATCCCACTTGGCATAGAGATATGGAAGTGGGCAAATTTGGGATAAAATAATTTTTAAGAGATTAAAAATTAACAATACAGTTCTGTTAACTGAGAATCTTAGGATGAGTTTTTTGGTTAATCAAATTATTTTTCAAGCACTGTGGGGAAGGAGAGCCAGAACTCAACCCACCTTTTTAAACCTCTTTATCAACTCAGATTTCTATTTTCCTTTGTTATTTCATATTTCAATCTCTGTTCTGTTTCCAATTTTAAATACAAAAAAAAGAAAAGAAAATTCTTGTCACATGTGTCATTTAATTTGCTTCATTCTTACTCCTTATTTTATAACTTAGGAAAGTAATTCAGAAATATTTTAAAAGAAAAGTGAACAGTAGTATTTTAGATCCATTCTAGATTATTTTTACCTTACAATTTTTATTTCTTTTATTTTCAAATAGTAACTCAGTTTTAAGCAATTACAAATTTTAGTCATTTCAAAACGCCAACGATCCTTGTGGGAACGATAACTGGGACTTATAACAGCCCTATATTACTTGTTGTCGCGTATACTTGCGCGCATTACTTGCACAACTGTTAGCAAGGCAACAGCAACCTTATAGTCTAAATTGGTCTATAAGTACTTTGATGAATTTAAAAATGAAGAACTAGGCCTTGATATCTTCCAAGCTTCTCAAGACCCTTTTGATGTAAAAAATTCGAGTTTCCTAGTTAATGAAGAAAAGTTTGAAGAATACCTCTTGTTGCTTGATGAAGAAGAGTTCGAGGAAAGAGAATGAAAGGGAAGCAAAGAGACCGGTGAAGAAATGGCCCTAGATGGGCATGAATCCATTATTAAGGCAGGTTGGGCTTGAATTATTTAGTTTTGAACATAAATAGTCTATTAGCCCAATATTAGTGTGTGATGTAAGCGCTTAGATAATTAAGTTTGTCTTGATTTACTTTTCTAGAGTGTAGTATTATGGAGTGTGATGTTAGTAATGATGTAATGATATTTGGTTTGTTACACTTTCATCGCCTATAAATAAGTGAGTTTAAAGCCATTGAGTTTGGTCTAACGGTGAAGTGTATGGATAAGTTGTATTAGGATGTGTGTTTAATTTTCATTGTATCCAAAAAATAAAATAAAAAAATAGATGAGCTTATGGACTTGTAAGGGCGAGAATTTATCTACCCATCAATAAGAAACGTGTAGTTCTCTAATGGCTCTCTAAATTCTCTCTTCTCTTTCTTAACTCTGTAGTTAATCTATAATCATCTCTTTAACATAGTCATGCTAAACATGTTCTACACTCACCATAAATATAGATCTTGTGCAACAAAAAAGTTATGACATGAAAATTGATCCTTTGCTATGAATCTATTATTATTAAATTTTGTGAGACGAGTCTGGTAAAATCTCCTATTAACATAGAGGAAAAGGCTCTGAGCAAGAGGAATTGATTTTCCGTTGTAAGTTCCAATTTGTCTATAACTACTCTGATGAATTTAAAGAAGACTCCAACAAAGATAATTTTAATTATGAGATTCTCATGAATATTGTGATTCAAAGGCGGCAAACCAATGCTATTGCCCAAAGCCTTTTTCTCTGTGAGATTGTCAAACAGCGTTGATAGAGTTGGCAAGTTTCGTGATAACTGCTGAATTATTACGTTCAAGAATAAGGTTCTTGAAACCTTTCTTCCAAACTAATTTAAGTCTCTTCAACACTCCCGGGATATACACCGTGCAAATACCAATTTGGAATGCATATGACGGAGGAGTAGTTACTGCTTTTTAGATTTGTTTTAAAAATATTTATTTTATCTTTACATAATTAATAAATTTATGAAGCTAATATTTTAAGAAAATTTAACATTTTTCACAAACTAATTACTCGAATTCAAAGATGCAGCGGTGCCTTCAAATTCAAGTATATATCAAAATTTGTGCATCCACAGATCCACTTATTTCGTTTGGGCAGTTTCTTCGTTGAAGTGGGCTGAATTCATTCGGCAGAGGAACAGAAAAAAAAAAGAAAAAAAGATTAGGCCTATCAAAATAAAAATTATGAAGCATAAGAAAGAAGCTGATAAAAAAAAAAAAAAAAAAAAAAACTTAGAAAAATATGAGTCCACTTGGAGAAACATTTTGTGCAACATTTACGCCTAGTCATTTATAATACAACATATGAAGAAAAAAAAAAATACGCTTTAAAAAATAAGAGAAGATTATACTTCTCACCATTAATTTTTTCTCATTTACAATCATTAATTTCAAATTGATTCAATAATAACCAAATAAGTAATAAAAATGATGCTATAAAATTATGAAAGAATATCTTTTGAATGATATTTCTTTGAAAAGTTTGCAGTTACATATCAATCTTGAAAAGCGAACAGAGTTCCATCCCAATTGAAAAAAATTAATTAGAAAAAACTTATGAAAGGAGAAACGACGTGGCAACATAGAAAGCACAATTATATACATTTTTTTAAGTGGATCAAACTCATTAGTTAATTCATCAATTATTAATTAATGACAACAGTTACGTGGCTTTATTGACTATCTTACTTACAGGGGCTATCATTAGCATTTTATAAAATAAAACAACAAAACTTGCCGTTTCATTGAACCAACCCCAATATGGAAAGGTGACAGATTAGTAGTCCTAGGCACTGCCTCCACTAAATCACATACAGACAAAAAGATTATGTTAATTAATCAGCCAAAGCATGCTGCTTGCCTTGTAAGCACAGACACACAAATGATTATGTCAATTAAATAATGTTAAATAATCACAGATAAACACAAGAATACATTAAGTGTCATTGTCAATGCCATCTTCTAGTTCCAAAACAGATATTCCTTGTTCCTTTTTATACCAAAATTGCTTGGAAGACAATCAAGAACCAAAAGTCTAAGAGGAATAGAACACCAAAGAGCAAGGAAATACTAAATTATCCCTACTCTTAATGGCCTTTTCCTTGTAATTAATGTGTCTAAATTTTGAAGTTTTCCATTTTTTCCATCCCTCAAAGAAAACAAGCCTAGGACCACTTATCTCTCTCAGACTTTCAAAACCAATTGTGGTTTTATAAAAGAAATTAATAAGAACAGGAAGATTAAATGTTAGAGGTTTTCCCTATGCAATGTTCAACAAACCCATCAAAAAGCATTACCTCTACCATGATAAGTCTTTATAGTAGGAGTGCTCCATAAATGAATAAGGACAACCGCATATGGCATAACAGATTGCACTCCAAGATTGACAAAGCTAGTGTCCTGGACAAACAAGTATGGGCATTTGAGAGGTACATGCTTTTAAGAAAGTAAGTGAATAATTAAATACATCAAAATTACTTAAAATTATACCAGTTCTTATCAAGAGGAAAACGTGACAGCAATAAGAGCTATCAGCAGGAGAGGGTGAAACATTTATGGAATGATATTAATTTCAGAGGTTATGAACAAAAATAAACATCATATGACATTTTAGTACCAACTAACAAAACTAGATCTTTCTACAGCCTTCCTTAGTTGATGTTCCAAGTTTTAAAAAAAAATAATAATAAACAAAAATTAATCCTGATAGTGGCTAAATTGCTACATGCTTCATTCCAAATTCTAAGTTCTTGATGGATCAAGATTAAGAAGATGACCCGTTACCAGAAACACGAAGATTGACAGAGCTACCTTAATTTAAGTGAATGTCATTGTTGCCACTGTTTGTTTTGTTGTAAGGATTGTTAATATCACTATGAAAGCCATTTATTTCACCAACAACATTGCCATTCAGATCCCCATTGATCTTTTCATCATCAGGTGGAGCATTTGTTGGCATAGCATTGTCCATTTCTGATAACCTTTTCTTGAAAGAGTTCTTATTGTTGTGCATCCAAACCTTGAATACCCCTCTGGAAACACCAATGTCATTGCAAAACTCCTGGACCAACACTTCATCCCCTTTGAGGATTCTCCAACCCAACTTGTCAGAGAATTTATGCATCTTCTCCTTCTGTTCTTGGCTGAACTTGGTCCTATGCCTCTTCTTCCCACTTTGGTTCTCTGCCTTAGCAGCCACTGAAGAGTTGAGGCTCCTATGATGATGCTGATGATGATGATGATGCTCATCAGAATAATATGCATTTCCAAGGGATAAGAGTGCTGATGTGTGGTGGTGGTGGTGGTGATAGGAAGGTGGGAAATGATGAGAGAGTGGTGGTGGTGATGGGCTTGACATGGGGCTCGGGCTTGGGCTCAGGCTTGGGCTGGTGCTCAGGCTTAGTCCACGGTAAGATAGTGGTGGTAGAAGTGGTGGCGCCGCCGCTGAGGGTGGTGGTGTTGAGTGGTAGAAGCTGATGAAGTTGGGGTGGTTGTTGGAGTATTCTTGTGTGTCACGGCGGTGGAAGTTGCGGTGGCAGCCACATGCGGCGCACGTGAGTGAGCGGGGTTCAGTGGGGTTGGATGAAGAGGAGGGCATGAACTCGCCACAGCCATCAAGTGCGTGGCCACCTAAGCTGGCTGCATGGTTCTTGAGGCACTCTTTGTAAAAAACCACCGTGGACGGTGGCTTTGGCGGTGGTGGAGCGGTGGTGGTGGGGTGGTGGTGGCGCTTGAGGGAACCGTTGGTGAAAGATGAAGACTTGGAACCAGTGTTGGAGGATTTGGTCGGTGGTGGGGTTTGAGAATCTGTGTCTAAGGTTTGGATGGTGCTGTTTGGGGTAAAGTCCATGTTAGTCTCTCAAAGAATGATATTAAGAGTTTTGACAAGTTTTTAAAAGGATGAGTTGTAGACCTGAAAGTGGAGACAAAACAAAAACAAAAAAAAGGAATCTGAAGGTTAATACACTTTGGGAGAGGGATGATGATGGTGGAACTAGAACATGATGGTGATGATATATGATGGTTTGTAATGTGAAGTGATGACAAAATCTGAGGCTTAGATGGGGCCTTGAAGGGATAGGGGGATACAGCAAACCATAAAATCAAAGGTCCCAAAATCTCAACCACTAATGATTTCAGAAGAGAGCAAAAACATGAAAAACATGAACTTAAGTTAAGAAAATCTTATGTATCTATCTATCTTTCTAGATTTATGGTAATTAAGGATAACCATTTTGTTTAGTTTAAGAAAAAGAGAAAATAAAAAATCACATGAGTTAGTTGTTGTGTGCAATAAATTTGTTTGATCCGTGTTGAAGGGGCAGAGTTTCATAGAGGGTACAGGCGTACAGCTCAGTCTTGAGGGGGATACGTGGCAGTTGTTTGTTTACTTATTGCATACGGCCAAGGACATTTTGAGCCTCGGCTCGGCCAGCTCATCCCACTCCAAATGCCGAATGTTAAGGCGTTCATATGTTAGATTATATCCAATTGTCGAGTAAAAAATATCTAATTGGGTATTGTTTTCTAATTTAGTATTGTTTTTTTTTTTTTAATTGTAATAATTCTACATCACACATTCATCTCTTTACTTAAGATATGGTGATAAAGCTAAATATGAAATATAGCCAGACATACTTACTTATAATTCCAATATTAGGTATAGATGTCAGAATGAACGAGGAAGAGAGCAAAGAAGATGAGATTTAATTATTAAAATATAAAACACACAATCTTGAAATATCTCAGATCGAAAAATCTTAAATTCAGAACTGAAACTAAAAATAATTAAACCAAATCAAGTTTACCGTAAAATGAACCAATTATGCGAACTAATTTAATTAATAGAAAAATATTTTTGTAATTAATGCAAATAAGTTATCTGCATTTACTTTCAAACCGATATCTTTTTGGGAGTGAAAGATTAAAAAATTATAATTATAAAGACTATGTAATCCTGAAATAAATTAAAATTACAAAAACACTATAATTTCAGCTCCAAAACAACGTCGTATTGAATCTACTGCAGTTTACCTATCTGCGGTAATCGCAAAAAAACAAACCCTTTAATTAATTTAGTATAAATTATGATAACTTTTATTCAAATGCAAACTCGAGATGATATATTTATTCAAAAATCTCTTTAATTAAATATTTTAACTTGTTAACCCAAGTCAACTTGACCTGTATTAAGGTGGGTAAAAATGGGTCAACCTTGGTGATTTTTTTATAAATGAAATATAATATTTCATTTATACATGTTAAATTTTAATGATATCTAATTTTTTTTATCTCAATTATCCTCTGCAAAAGATAAAAAAAAACACTTGATTCATGACGAAGATTGTCCATATATAGAGACCAAAGTAAATAGATAAAGAGTATATTAATACATTTAGACTTGACATTAAAAAATGAAATTAATTAATACTATATAACTCATAATTTAAAATTATTTTATTTTTTAAAACGGATTAATGCGCAAACCCGCCCTTAAATGAAATATGTTAATATTTTCAACCTATTTCTATAATGCTGATCATAACCCTGCCATGCCACATTCGGTTATAATATAAAAAATATAAATATTTAAAATTTACAAGTTGATAACCAGAATTTATACAAGTAGAATATACAACTGATAGGACTTTATTTTACAAAAACAAATTTAGGGATTGAACGATTCAAATTAGAAACCGTTAACTGATGAAATACAAAGAGTAGTTTATCCAAATCAAATTATATCAAGAACCTATTTGGTAATTTTTTTTTGACTAAAAGCTACATTTAAGCTAAAGCTAAAAAAAATAACTTTAAAAATAAATTTAAAAGTTGTTTGATGATTATATAAAATTTTGGTTTAAAAGTTACTTAAAAACTCAAATTAAAAATAAGTTGATATAATTTTTAAAAAGTTCTTAAGAGCAGTTTTTAGCTTTTGACTTTTTTCTTTATTATAAAAGAAGAAGTCTTTTATTATAAGATCTTTTATAAAAGATTATTTGAGCTAATTCATGCTTATAAGGAAAAAAAATTAAAAAAAATATCTCTCAAACGGGTATTAAGAATTTTTTTGGTTTCTTTAATAACAATCGCATTACTTTAAATTTGCACCACTTAACGAGAAAAATCAGAAGTCCAAATCTTTTTCCTTTACGTGATCGGTGGTCGTCCAACAGTGTTCATTAATTCCAATTAGACTTTGACTATAGAAAAGTCGAAATAGCTAGGCTTTTGAAAATTTGTGAACCTTATTCAAATAATTAATTATCCTAATCTTGGCAAAACCTACTTTTGCAACAATATCTCCCGTACTCATGACTTGGGATGGTATGGGATCTGATTGCATAATTTGATCATAGTCATATGCTAATTAAACTTCTCTCTTTCACACTCAAAATAATGCACGATTTGATCAATGATGAATTGCAAATCAATCTTCTCTCAGCCTCAGCCTAGCTAATTCTCAATCAAATCATGCAATCTACAATAGATTCCAAGAAACAAAAATGCGTGTTCTTATGGGCTTCTGTTTCTTTCACGGCTTGAGAAGACGTGTTGATATAAAGGCGTGCTTAATTTGCTGGGATTATAGAGAAGTATATAGCCAAATGGCAACCTAAATCACCTATCAAATGAGTACTGATTCATTATGTTTGAGGTAGGAGCGAATTTTGGCTTTTTTTTGGGCTGAAATAGTCAAAACCGTCCTCAATGAATCAAGTTGTCGTCTGACATCTATGTCATTATCAAAGAAAGCATGCGCGGAGTGACACAAAGTATTATACGCACGAACAATTTGACATAATGAATTCCTGAAAATAGAGCTTAACTGGTTTGTGCTTCTAATCTGTGGGATTTTTATTTTTTTTAATAACGATGATCTGTGGGATTTTAAACCCCAGAGATAGGAAAAATTGAATCATGAGGAACAAGTTATGTTTCTCCTTCTGAAAGAGAAACTATGTGGATAAGAAACAAGTGCATAAATGTTTGGCTATATTTGCATATGAAAGTTTTTTTTAAATAAATAAATAAAGGTAAACGAGAATGCTTTTGTACAATAATTAATGGGTTTAGTTTTTCTTATGTTATAGAAGATAAAATTATTTATCTTTTACATATACATAAAAATGTTTTGGGCCTTTGAAGAGAAGAGGGAGTGAAAAAAATGAGTCTCATGCTTTCAAGTGTATAAGAGACAAATAATTTTTTTTTTGTTTCCAAAGATATCCTCCAGCTGAAGACTAATTCTTTCGAGACGAGAGATTATATTAAGGGTGAGCATGTCAATCATTTTGTTCCCTAACATTTTTTCTGAAAAGAAATAATTTTTTTCTATTTATATGCGTTGGAACAGTTTATGAGAAAAAAAATGTGTTTGATAACATGTTCTATTTTTATTTTGAGAATAAGAATTGTGTTTGATAACACAACAAATAATATAATAAAAAATAATTCCTATGAAGCATAATTTTTTTGGATTATCTCTTTCCTTTTCATATGGTGTGGTGGTGATGGTGACGACGGTGATGATATGGTGGCAACGACGGCAGTGGCGGTAGCGAGATGGTAGTGACAACAATGGTTGCGGTGATGATGGTGGTAATGGTGATAGTGGTGGTGGTAGTGGTGGCGATGGTAGTGGCTGCAAAAATAGTGGTAGTGGTTGATGGCGGTGTTGATGGTGACGACAGTGGTTGCAGTGGTGGTGGTGGCGGCAATGGCGATGGTGGTGGTGGTGATAACAATTGTTGTGGCAATGGTGATGGTGGTTGGTGATGGTGGTGGTGGCGTGGTGGTGATGGTAATGGCAGTGGCTGCGGTGATGACAGTGGTAGTTAGTGACAGTGGCGGAAGTGGTGGCGTTGTGGTGGTGGCAATGACATGGTGATGGCGATGGTGGTGGTGACGGTGATGGTAGTGGCGATGGCGGCGATGATGATGGTGGTGATGGGTGGAGGTGGTGGCGATGATATCTTTGTGTGGTTGTTGTGATGGTGGCATACTGGCATCGTCATTGTCGTGGTGGTGGTGGTGGTGGTGACGATGACATTGGTGGTACAACTATGATAGCATATGGTGGTGGTGATCGTGTCGGGATGATGGTGGTGATGATGATCATGATAGTGGTAGAGAGTATTTGAGAAAAATAAGTGTTTCTCATTTGGTGTCCGAGAACAAAAAAATAAAATAAAAATCTTTTTTTTGTTCTCCAGTAAACAAATTAAACCGGTTTTATCAAATGAGTTTTCTATCCATTTCTGCTCCGGAAACAAAACAAAAAAAAATGATTCTGAGAAAGTTGTCATACATATCTTAAGTGGGCAAACTTCCCCCAATAAAATTTTTTCTATTTATAATAAATAAATAATTTTATTTCCTAAGATATATTAAAACCATAATAAATTTGTGGTACGAGAAGCAAGTTAATGGTATTACCGTACAGTCAAGTTTTCACATTTGTAAGGGTCTCGAGAGAGCAAAAATGTTATCTTTTGCCGCTTGACCAAATGAACATAACCAGATTCCTTAGGTCAATAGGTCAATAGCTCATATATCATCCGCGTACAATTTAAGAGATGTGGACCCAAAATTAACGGAATTTTTTTTTCACTAGCAAATAAGTTTAACGAAAATCATGCTCTCAGGTGGCAGTAGTACAAATAATTTTTCTGCACAAATTTATTTTTCGTGTTAATTAATTTTTTTTCTTTTTTAATATAAAATATGAGACTCACATTTTATTTATTTCTACTTTTGTTTTTTTATATTTTTATGTAACATAAGAAAATATGAATCCTAAATTTAAACATTGGAAATAGATAGTGTATTGCTAAATAAATTGGAAACATGGATGGATCGGAATCCACCCAAAGGCATTTATGAAGCCTTCTTGCAATATTGCAGATATGATAACATCAAGGGTGCGAAAAACAAAAAAAAATCTTCTGCGGCTGACAAAAGCGATTTTAATTTCAGAAATATTCCATAATCTCATCAAATTTTAGTTGGACAGGAAAAAAATAAATTTTTACCTTAACAAATTGAATTTATTATAAATTGTAAAATAAATAAATCATTCCAATCACATTGACTCACCCAAAATTATTTTCAAGTTTTATTATTTTTTTATTAAATTCTATTA